CGATTCGATGTGTTGTGCGTCGATTCCATAGATCCAAGACACCAGCCCTGTTTTTCTAGCTAGACATAACAAAGGCCTTTGACTCAGTCCGTTGGGAGTATCTACTCGCCCTGATGAGTAAGCTTGGTTTCCCCCCAAAATGGAGAGAGTGGGTGGCTGCACTGCTATCAACATCATCTTCTCGCATCCTGCTAAATGGTGTCCCCACTGCACCTATCAAACATGGCAGGGGAGTGCGCCAAGGCGATCCTCTTTCACCATTGCTATTTGTCATTGCTATCGACCCATTGCAAAAAAAATGCTTGACCTTGTGACGGAAGAAGACCATTTGGTAAAATTCAAGGGAAAACAAATTGTCATGCGGACATCCATATATGCGGACGACACGGCAATCTTCGTTAAGCCATATAAGAAGGATGTCACAGCGCTCGCTGATATTCTCACCAAGTTTGGCGAAGTGTCAGGACTCAAAACAAATGTTCAGAAGTCATCTGTCATCCCCATAAGATGTCAAGGTGTCGACTTGGACGAGGTCCTGCGTGATTTCCCTGCAAGACGAGCCCTCCTCCCAACTAAATATTTGGGTCTACCTTTGACAAGCACCAGATTGCGAAGGATTGACTTTCAGCCACTTGTTGACAAAGTTGTAAGGAAGCTCATGGTTTGAAATGGCAAGAATATTAACCATGTTGGAAGGTCCACTTTAGTCAAAGAGGTCCTCACCTCACAAGCTATGTATTGCCTCACGTCACTAAGAGCTCCTAAAGCCACGCTGAAGGAAATTGATAACCTCAGAAAGAGCTTCCTATGGGCTAGATCCAATAAGCTAACCAGGGGAAAATGCAAAGTGAATTGGCCACGTTCCACAAGACCAACTGAATCTGGGGGTCTAGGCATTCTTCATCTAGGAAAATTTACAAGGGCACTACGTCTCAGATGGTTGTGGAAAGAGTGGGAGGATGAAGGAAGGATGCTGAACAATCCTGACACACCATGTGACACGACTGATAGGCTCCTATTTGCTGCAGCAACTTTAATCACAATTGGCGACGGCAAGAGAACATCTTTCTGGTGCAGCGCCTGGCTACAAGGTCAAAGGCCCTAAGATCTAGCGCCAAGTATCTTCCAAATTTCAAAAAACAAAAACAAATCACTCGACGAAGGTATGCGCAACAGAGCGTAGATTAGGGACATAGATCTGCGACATGTAGGCTTCACCTCCCAACACTTTGTGGAATATGTCCAGCTTTGGAGCGCTCTTAGCCACATCCAACTACACCCCGATAGGCAGGACAACATCAATTGGAATTTTAAGCCGGATGGAAAATTCACGACAGGATCGGCCTACCACGCGCAATTTGTTGGACCAACGCTGACAAATTTCAAGCAATTCATCTGGAAAGTCTGGGCGCCGCCAAAATGCAAATTCTTTGCATGGCTCGCCATCCAAAATAGAGTCTGGACCGCTGATAGGCTACAAGTGCGGTAATGGCCGAATAATGGAGTGTGCCCCCTATGCAGGCGCAGTCAAGAAACTGGCGTCCATCTATTTCAAGATTGTCGCTACACTAGGCGTATATGGGAAGACATTGCATATGGTTGGATAATGAGCAGTTGCGACCTCCCGCCTGGGTGCTAGGAGACTCGGTACAAACTTGGTGAGAAAACATAGATCGCACACCTTCGACGGCGAGACGAGGTCTCCGCTCCATCATCATTCTTGTTTGTTAGGAGGTGTGGAATGAAAGAAACGCAAGAATCTTTGAGCGCAAGGAGTCCGCGCCAACGCAACTCCTCCAAAAAATCAAGGATGAAGCGGGCCTATGGGCAATAGCAGGAGCAAAATACGTCTCTAACTTATTATTGCACGCTTGATGTAAACCCTGATGTGCCGAGGACTCGGGGAGCTTTGACGTCGTTGTACAAATTTGTACATATTTATAATTTGCCTTTCTAGGCTCTATTCTTTTTAATACAATAGGCAACTCTTCTGCCGGTTCTGTTTCAAAAAAAACTTCCAACATAGGCACGAAAGCCCAGCATCTCAAAATCAGTATATCAAAGAACACACATATGCCTTTTATACCAACTCATCTATACAAGTAACCACTTCACGTATGGAACAATGGTGAAGGGACCATGATGCCTAAAGGAGGGAGGGATGATGAGGGAGGGACTTTCTAAAACTTCCTACTCTAAACTATCAAAACCTATGCAAGAAAGTAATATATCTAGATGTGCAACTAAGGTTTTGCTAAGTGTGTTGCTATTTCTACCATAAAAGAGTTATACAACCTAGGTTTCAATCCTATCAACTAGCCTAGCATGCTAAACTAGCACTACTATAGAGATGGTTATCCCAACACCTTTATCATCGTAGTTTATTACATAACCAGCGGTGAAAATGTTTCACCACCGGTTCAAGGCCCGGCAGGGAGAAGTGGCCGCTTCAAACAGCGGTGAGAAGTGTTATCACCGTAAGGTTGTCGATGGATCCGGCATTGATCTTCAAGGTTCGTGTCGCCGCCGGTGTATACGCATAGTCGGCGACCGTACTGTTATGGCCGTCGACCCAAAATGGCAACAAGTGGGTCGGCGGTCAAAAGTCTCCGCGACTGTCCAGTGCCCCAATCCCAACTAGCAACACCCTTTCCGCACCTATAATTCTACCGTGTAGGCAAAGAGGCTAACCCAATGCTCTGCCTATTATTAACCCCACCTGCCCTCTGAAACCACCCCTCTTCTTTCTTCACCCCCTTCTTCCAACTTCAACCATGACAGGCTTCAAGCTAGCTACCTGACAATGACTCCTCCAGCGAGGAAGAAGTTGAGTGCTAGTGGAGCAATAGCGATGAGAGCTCGCCTGACAATGATGAGCATTTTTTTCAACAACGGTGACAACACTGAGAAGGAGGAGGAGGAGGACGACGACGACGAGGTGGAGGGGGAGGAGGACGACAAGGATGAGGATGACGACGAGGACGAGGAGACCACCGATGAGCCTCCAGCAAAGCGGCATAGGAGGGATCTAGATTGGATTTAGTTTAGTTTAATTAGTTTGAATCTATGTAAGTTTTCTTAGGTTCAACAAGAAATATGTATGTATTAGTTTCATTGGTTACAATCTATGTTGATCAACACATTATCTGTTATAACGAATTAGACTTGTTTGAGCGCGTGTACTATAGTGTTCTTATCCACCGACAATCGTCGGATGCTACTATCAAATTACGGAGACAATTGTTCGCTTAATACGATTACTATGACTCTTATCACCGGTTGTCTGTCCTTCCTCTCGATGAATCTAGACCGGCCGTGTCTCTCATATCTCAAATCATCCGGCCGACTCCCCATCCTAATTCCCCAACTCCCCTTGGCCCCTATCGGCAGCGGTTCCCGCAAGAAACCCTTTTGCGGATTGGTTCATTCTCCCACTCAGTGTTTTCCCTTCATTGAATCCCAGCACAAGTGGTTGTTTCTTCGCCTCTACATCATTTCCCTGCCTCCTCGACTATATATTGTCGTCCGACGCAACATCAACGTAAGATCAGCATCCCGAGAAGATTGGCTCCTTCGCCCAGATCTAGTGGCCGGGGCGCAAGGATGGGGCCATGGGGGCGACGGCGACCGGGGCAAAGAGAGGGTGTTCTGGCCAAGGATGGGACCGGCTCCTAGGAAGGTGGTGCTGGCATCGGTGGATGGGCGACAACAACGACGATGACTTCTTCTCTTCGCCGGTAGCATGGACGCAGGAAAGAGGAGAAGGGTAGCGGCAGGAAAGAGAAGGGTGAGAAAGAGATTTCTTCATTGCTTGGAGCCGGATTCCATATAAGGAAATGACTCCTCAAGAGAATTGGGCTCACAGTGTAAATCAGTGAGTCTTATCTTACTTCCTCCGGTCCGCTTTATTAGGCGCTCACGGGTTTTAGAAAAATAATCGTATTATTAGACGTCTCCTAGAAACAAGAGTGTGATTTCTTCAGCTTGGACGGAAGCGGATTCGTCTCTCTTTCATTCTAATTAAAATGACATGCATGGAAGAGGGAATTGGGTTGTGATATTTTTAATTAATACAATTTTATTGAGTCTTCCATTCTTTATGTCTGAAATTTCATCCGTGGTCCGGAGAGAGTAGCATTTATTATATAGCGGGTTAGAAATGCCCAATGCTGACGCTCGGGTTTTAAAAAGATTAGAAAAAAACCATCTCCAACAATTAGGCTTCTTCCTAAAAACAAGACTTGGTAAATCTTACAAGTTAACTCAGCGCCTCTCGCTGACGGCTTCCTCCTCCAAGCTGAGCTCGTCTCTGATTCATTCTAATTAAAGGTTGCATGCATGGAAGCCAAGGAGAGGACTTCATCCACCACGATGTGATATTTTAATTATGACGCGGACGGCGTCGAGTCCAAGATCATCACCCGGTTTTATTGTCTTCGCAATTGCTCGCCTGTGGTATCTGAAATTTCATGGCCGGCTACCGTGCCTACACGTCTGTGTTAGAAGAGAGTAGTATGTTATTAGTATTGGTGTTTTTCTTTCAAGAAAGCGGGTCTACTCTCTGGTACATCTTTGGCTGCTTTGGAGAATGCTCTGGTGCATCTTCATTGCTTTGGATCTCAAGTGCAATGCGTGACGCAACATAATTCATGTGGCCCTAAAATTGATTTTTTAATGTCATTTATTAGAAACTCTTGGAACCGCGTAAATCTTTTTAGAAGTTGCCAAACTATAAGTTTTTAGAAGAAAAAAGTAGGAAACTCTTGGAGATGCTCTAAGCAACCACGTAAAGGGTGCTAGCCCAGTCTAGGCCTGCCTAATTCCACATTACTATATGTGCTAGGTGCTGTGTACACCTGGGTGGCTGGGAAACTGGGCAGCAAGAAATTCAAGAGTTCCAGAATTATTTAACCCAATATTGTCACTCTACCCAAAAGAAAAGAAAAAAACAGATACGTTTTGAAGCAAATTGGATAGAGCGCAAAGCCGCCCAAACCGATTCACAGCACCCATTTGATGATATAATCTTCAAAGGCGTGGTACTTGGACATGTGCTTCAACATCCGAAGTTTCCCTGGAGAAGCCACCACCAGCTCAATGCCAGTCAAGACAGCAAAGTCCCAGTGGACCACATCGCGGAAGTCAAGTGCCTCATCACTGTCGCTGTCATCATCATCGGAGAAATCCATTTCGGGCATAGTACTATGGAACATCTTGACAACACAGAACCTGCCAGAGCCCAGGTTGATAAGGTCTTGTTGGAACGGGGACCAGCTTTTAGGGCTTTGTTTAGATTGTCTTAAAATTCTAAGTTTTTTCACTCTCTCTTCGTCACATCAATTTTTGGACGCATATATGGAGCATTAAATGTAGGTAAAAAAAATAACTAATTACACAGTTTGGTTGTAAATCACGAGATGAATCTTTTGAGCCTAGTTAGTCCATGATCGGACAAAGTTTGTCAAATAAAAAAGAAAAACGTGCTATAATGTCCAGATTACGAAAATTTGAAATCTAAACCAGGGCTAGGCATGTCAAGATCTACCCAGGTTTCATGAACCGTAGGCGGTCGCTCAAAGTCCACAGCAGAAAGGTCCCAAGCACAGAGGTGGAAGGGGCGGGAGGCGGATAGGCCAGTCCAGAGCTTGAGCTCTGGGACATACTCCGCTTTACCAGAGAATGGCAAGCACCAGTTGCCAGCGCGCCTCCATTTGCAGGTCTCTGTGTCGAAGGCGTAAGTGCCGATGCCCGGTGCTGTGGATGATACATATCATATATATATATAGGCCCTGTTGGGTTACTGCAGGGACTCCTAAAATTCCTATCACATCGAATGTTTGAACACGTGTATGCAATATTAAATATAAATTAATTATAAAATTAATTGCACAACTTACGACTAATTTGTGAGACGAATCTTTTAAGCCTAATTAGTCTATGATTTGACAACGTGGTACTACAATAAACATGTGCTAATGATATATTAATTAGGCTTAAAAAATCGTCCGCAAATTAGCCCCAATCTATGTGATTAGTTTTATAATTAATCTATATTTAATACTCTTTATTAGTATCTAAACATTCGATGTGACATAAATTTTAGGAGCGACTAAATAACCAAACGCCCCGTAGCGCCACCAACCACCGTGTAGGCATCTATCTGATCAGGTAGCTCGTAGATAGGCGGCGGGCGGCGGGAGAGAACACCAGCCACGGTACAAATCATACGCAGAGAGAACATCCTGGCCTCCTTCGTAGCTGAGCTCCTCAAAGCAGTAATCCCTGAAGTCGTGGTGGATCATGCGGCCCATGACGTACAAGCTGACTTTGTTCTACCGGAGAACCATCAGCAGCAGCCCGGGTTATGGAGATGGGAATGGCACCGCGCCCCTTGGGTGCCCCGAGGTTGGGCACGGTCCTCACGGAGTGCGAATCGTAGAGCGAGGTGAGCCCCGCGCTGTCAGACCAGAAGATCCTGCTCTCGTCGCCCAGGAGACAGACCAGATCGAGGGGTGTGTCACACAGACGATACCGGCCGCATGGTTTGAAGTTGATCAACGCACCAGGCAGCGGCTCCAATCTGCTTGCCATCGTCTGCCGTGACCGTAACCACTACTACAGGGATGACTTCCAGGGACGGCTGGTGAGGCTTCGTAGAGGCGGCTCGATCAGTCGTTCCTACTATACCATCTCTATAAATCATATATTTATAGGAACGATTTCTAGACCATCCTTACAAATTGATTTATAGAGGCGACTGGTGTTATCAACCGCCCCTATAATACCTGTTTATATGGGCGGTTAACATTTTTTCATAAAAAAAATTTAAATTTACGATTCAAATTCGACCAGAACATATATATGCATGGGACGACATGCACATTCCGATACATTCCATCCGAATAATTTAGAGCTACTACTGGTGAAAATCAAGCTTTTGCTGGCCATGTCGCTTGAGAAGACATAATGATGCCCACAATGACTCCGAACAGTCCCAGAGCGCTGCCAAAGATCTCAATCACCAAGATCTTTACAAAGAGTGATGAGTTCTGAGCATCAGAAAGTGCACAGCTGCTTCCAATTATCCCCACGCATACCCTGTAAATAGGAAATTTAATCATCTGGGCTGTAGCATAAATTCACGGAGGAAACAAGATGGAGAGCCTGGTGCCTACCCGCAAACAAGATTAGCAAAGCCAACAATAAGGCCAGATGCGAAGATTGCATAGCCAGCTCGAAGAGACTCCGGAGCATACATTTGAGATGTTGGCACACTTTCAAGCTCTGTCTGGAGGATGATTGCCACAATTACACCATAAATTGCAACAGCCTCACAGAAGATGACACTGAAAAAGCAAAATCACATGGAGATTATGATTTAAAAAATGAAGAAACTATAAAGAACAGTAGTTTATGACTCGATGAAAATATAAATTTCTAATATGAAGCTCGAGCTTGTTGCATTCCTTATGTCTAAGTGCCATGTTCATGTTCATTGCTCGCCAAGAAAACAGCAAAACAAGGCAGATGCAAGGATGAGAACATCATATGGTGTTTGTTTACTGAGGGTATACAAATATGTAGGTGTGAATCTGGCTGTCAGATATAACTTTAGCATGTATCCATTCAATCAAATGCAAGATGAGTTGCTTCAGGCAACTAAACAACTCTCAATCCCATTAATCCATGATTCTATTGTTCTATATTGTTTATAGAGTATATTCATAGGCATGACACAAGTGAGCTTATTTGGTATATTCATAGGCATGACACAAGTGAGCTTATTTGGTTAAGCCATTCAGTGGCATTGGGGGGAAAATAAATTACCAGATGCCTGAATGAATGATTCTAGGTAAAAAAAAGCATTTATCTAATTCTCAGAACGGTGGAAACAAAGACAGATGTAAACAACACTGCAGTTCCAAAGTCCCTAAACTAAGGTTCTACTTCTACCATTGCTATTGGATAATAATATGGGAAACATGGCATACTTTAAAACTGGAGCGGTGAAGATCTAACATTACCAGATGAATATTGCAATGCTGCCAGTATATCTAAAAATGAGGTAATCAAAACTCAATTGTGTTCCTAACCACCAAATGAATGTGTATGCTTCCTCTTCTAGCAGTAGTTGTTCTACATATTCTTATGAAACTTTACACTACACATATGTGTCGACGCAAAAACGTGTCAATGCGCCTGGCACACAGCAAGCCGGAAGGATCTGCTTGATGGAGCAAAACTGGAGATCCACTTGGCTTCAACACAGGACCAGTCGACCCTGCGAATTTCTCCCGAGGGCGTGTTAGTCAATTTGACCTGCAATTGATAAGGAGATAAAGTTTATCAGTAATTTAAGGTGGAACATGCCGGTCTTGCCCAGACAGTTCCAAGTGTGCCGCTTCGGGAGCAGCCAGACGAGAAAAATTGACTAAATAGCGATACGAGAAGAAATCGGCTATTAAGGACTGTAACACTCGCTGGTTGTAATTGATTTTATAATGACACCCGCGATACACCCAGCTTTAATGATTCTTTTCCTTAAGCTATTAACATGTATATGTCAGAGATACATCACTAGCTAAATCAGATTCGATCAATACGTAGTGTAGAGCCAATGAATTCAGTGAAAAAGGGATATGTCACGCACATAATCGACTGTTTAATATAGACAAACCGTCTAAATCTAATCCATTACCGTCAACAGTGAGGTTCGACCGGATCGATGCAGCTATGATGACGATGATAGTCTAGAACCAGAAAACCCATAGAACCGACCATACTTCAACAGGTTCATGAAAACGTGTCATATCTGTGAAAGCACAGGCGAATCGGCTAAAAGAGCCGATTCAGATAGAAAAAGGATCATAGCATGTGAATAATCGACTATTCGATACGAGCAGACCTATAAACTCCTCAAATCTAACCTATCATCTTTAACAGTGGGGTTCGACCGGATCGGTGGCAGCCATAATAAAGATAACAGATTAAACCTTTAAAGAAAACAGATATGTTCATATTTAACAGGATCATAAAAATATACTATTAGCGTTAAAGTGCAGGCGATCGGCTATTTAGCCGATGCAGGCATAGCAAACAACCAAGGTCACGCTTGGTCGAAAGTAAGTCTACCAACTAGCATTCTCCGATCTAGAGTGCCATCAGTGGGGATCGACCGGATCGTTACAGCCATAATAACGATCTATAGACCAGATTTAACTAGCTAGCCAGTAAACCTCCTCAAGATCAGACATACTTTAACCGCGTACTATGCACGATCAAGATCGAAGTAGGACAGCCAATGAAACATAATCCGTCATTTAAAATAAGAATCATCGCAATGTGGCAAAAATAAATGAGGGACTAAAAGGATGTGAGGCCGATCTAGCTCGATCATGATCGGGCAGGTTGATGTTGCTGAAACTAATGACAATAAGAACATCAGCAAGATCGGTAACTTAATGAATCTACCCGAAGTATGCCACCCTTAGGTAGAGCCGGTAACTTAACCTTAATCTAATTCGAGCAGTGGAGATCGAACTTAACCGATGCAGCCGTACTTAAACTAGATAAAAATCGATAACTAGCTTATACTAGAGCTCGCAGTGGAGGTCGAACTTAACCGATGCAGCCTTACAAACAGAAGTATAAGCCATGACGGTACTTACAGACAAGCCGGAGGTCGGCCGAACCGATGCAGCCCTGCTTGTTGAAGAACTCGCCAAGATCTACACTACTCCTACTCCTAAGGGTTGGCGTAAAGCCAAAAAAGTAATTGGTATTGATTGCTGGGATGTCCTTTACAATAGCCGGGGTTCAATATTTATACCCGGAACCTAAGCATGAATCCTACTCAAGTACGACTCATTACAATCTTTGGCATAAGAGAAAAACATTTCTAATTTAAGATAACTTGGACCATAATTTTTTCCTTTTTGTAGAGTCCGATATGTCTTTCCCGACGCCAACCGTAGCTTATTGTTGTTATCTGCTGACGTCATCTGAAGAGAGCCGATTCCAGTGCCGCATCTGAATCAGCTGATATCGATCCTTATACAATCGATTCCTTGATGACACAATCTCGGAAGCTTCGAGTTCCCGCGTTCTTATTCCTAAATTTTGATGTAAACAATATGATGATCACAAGAAAGTGTGATCAAACATTTTCGATTAGTGCAATAAGAATATATTACAATCTAGTTGCACAGCTAGAGCTCTATTGATCATATCCACCAACACACAACAACAACAACAGCAGCAGCAACAACAACAAAAGGATAAGAGCGAAAGGAAACCAACAAATGCTGAGATAGATAAAGGACCATGATTGGAACCAAGAAGATCAACAGAAGAACTTGACTGTATTAGCCACGGAAACAGAAGAAAAGCAAAGCTAAAAATTGCACCAGCTGAACTTAAGCATGGTAGTGCATGGCTTGGAATGTTTATATGTGGAGTACTTGTCAAACAACAGTACCTATGAATCAAAGTTTTGAACCACCAACACTAACAGGAGCATCAGGGGTCAAGAAATACCCAGGTCTCCAGCATTACCAGAGAGAGAGAGAAAAAAACATGCACTGGTACATGTTTTTTCCTTCAAAAACAAACAACTAAATAAAAGTCTTTCCTACCATACACCAGACCTCCTCCCTCTGATTCCAAATGTAGGTCATTAAAAAGAGTGACATGGTCTCCAATGTAAAGCTGACTTGCATTTTTTTATAAAAATTTATACTAGTTTAAATAGTAAAAGTTGTATATATTATGAAAGTATTTTAACTATAGATAGGGAGGACATCTCCGCTAGATGGTGAATTAAATATATCACATTATCACTTGACAAAACCGCTAGACGGTGAATTCAATCAATGGACAGGAATTTTAACTATAGATAGGGAGGACATCTCCGCTAGACGGTGAATTAAATCAGGCGGAACTACAGCACGTTACCCTAGCCTAGCCAATTCTACCAACAGCAGCTTGAGCATGTAATAAGAATCGAAGGCTCCAGATTCCGTACTGATGAGGTTCTTAGATGTGATCCTGGGCGCCTTGATGGCGGCCCCGATGAGGCTGCTCCCCGTGATGAAGATACCCCTGAAGATACAGAGCAGAAGCAAATAGCAAGGATAGTGAGAGGCAAGCAGGCGCAAGCAAGACCTGTCGAAGTGGCAGATCTAGCGAGGCAGGGTGTGGAGGTGCGCGCTGACTCACCATGCCGCATCGAGGACGGAGACGCCGATGGCAGAGAAGGTGTAGGGTGAGATCTGCACCAGGGCGCGCTCCCACGACGAGGAGTCTGACGACATCTCCGCGCGCGATATGTGTCTATTTCTTCTCGCTCTCCCTCGGCGTCGTTGTGGGACTGGATCGGGGAAGGAGGATTTGGGGAAGAAGAGCCAGGTTGACGCAGAGAGGACGAGAGGATGCGACTGTGCGAGGCAATGCGAGCCCCGTCATGAGGGATTCTGCCCTACCGCACCCTCTCCATCCTCCCCCTCCCGTCACGCAGTGGAAACCCCCACCTCCGCACCCTTCTAGATCTAGATCTGAGAGGGGAAAGGAGAGGAGGCGATCTCCACGCTGCGGAGAAGAGTGTGGTGGAGGAGCGGTGGTGGAGGAGGAGACGAGGGGGATGTCGGAGGAGGATGAGGAGCGATGGCGGAGGAGGAAGACGAGGAGCAGCGACGGCAGCGATGTGCTCTCCATCTGGGGGAGGGAGACGAGGGGATGGGGGAAGTGAGCGGACTGACGGACGTGTGAGGGCATGGAGTCCGCTGGAATGGACACGGCAGGGGCGGCTGGTAATAGCCGCCTCTACATACCAGCCGCCCCTACAAATCGACGTATTTGTAGGGGCGGCTGCTGTGCTAGAGCCCGAGCACGTCACTGTAGAGGTTGCTCCAATGCCAGCCGCCTCTAAAAAAACCGTTGCTATAAACTATTTTTCACGTAGTGAACCCATGTTTGTAGCCGGCCTGCTTCTCTGCGTTCGCCTTGATTGCTGCTTCTGAACGTGCCATTGCTGCTTCAGCTGCAGTTGCTGATGGGTAGAAGAGATTGCCGGAGAGATCGATGCGGCGCAGAGAATATAAGCCAGTGTCCAGGCTCTCGACCATCAGATTCAGAAATCGCCTCATCATCCTCTACAAACCAAACAATCAAATGAGCTTCCTTCTCAGTCCAGATTCCACAGAAAAAAGAGAGAGTTCAACGATCAAGGGCGGACGCAGTAAAGGACATGAGTGTAATTAGATCCTCTACAAACCAGCACCCGAGAATTTTAGCAAAAAATCGAATTTTGTGGGCATAATACATAAATACACTGGGTAGTTAGATCAGATCAGGATACAAATAGCTTAAGTTAGAGTTAGAGTCTTCGGTTTCGCATAACAGGACCGAATGAGAAGGGATGGGCGTACCTGCTGGCCAAGACAGAGAGAGCTCACGGGTCGGGAACGGGAGAAGAAAAGGACGGATTTTTTTTATTTTTATTTAATTCCTTTTCAGATCTTATTTTAAAAATTAAAAACAATTAAATCCATTTTTTCTATTTTTATATATTTCTAATAATCCTTTGGTCGCACCAATACGTCAATCACGCTGTCGTGCGGCGCCACTCTTGTCAGTGCGGTAGTACTGTAGCCCACAACGACATACGGATTGCGGACTGTTGGCGAGGCTTGGATGAAGACGATCGGGCCTGTTCGCTGGTTTATGCTGGTGCTGGTTTTTTTTAGAGGAAAATATTGTTGGCTGGCTGGTTTGGGCTGACTGAAACCAACAAGCGAACAGGCTGGATATTTTATATAAAAATGGTAATACTTGATAGGCCTATGACTTTCTAGTTTTGAGGTTTTTTATTTGAGGTGTTTACGTGCTCAAAACAACTTACAAAGTTTTAGCAATATATTAGATGTGTACTAGTGCTTGCCATCTTAGAAAAATCGTATCTTTCTTGTATGATGTCAAACAAAAGTTACCACAGCAGCCTAGCATCTGGTTTTCGGTCGAGTCTAAAAAAAAGAGCATCCAGTTTTTGGCCCACAAGCGCAGAAGAAATGTGCGGCTTTCAGCCCACGAGTGCATAAGAAATGCGCGGCCTAGCATGGTCGACGACCGAATCTGTGCGACCAGTCGGTGTCTCCTCGCTCGCAGACAATTGATATTAGAGCGGTAATCTCCCTATCGGGCGTCTGTTCCATCCGGACGGACCCACCCACGGAACGACTCGGACCTACTCGGCGTTGCAACTGTGGTAATTCTCACTCCGCCTCGCTCATCCTCATCAACTCCCGCTCCGCACGCCCACTCTGTTCACTCGTTGTCTCATCCCCACCCCCGGCGCGACGCCCTCCCCCACACCCCGGTGAGGCGCGCGGTGCTCTTCCACCCCTGGCGCGGCGCCATCCCCCACCCACGGCGAAGCGCGCGTTGCCCTTCCCCACCCTCGGCGAGGCGCGGTGGTGGGAGGCGCGGCGTCCTCCCCCATCCCCACCCCGGCGCCCTTCCCCCCGACGCGGCGTCCTCCCCCACCAGGAGCCCCCAACCCGGCGCGACGCCCTCCCCCCACGCTAGCGCGCGCAGCATCCTCCCCATCCCGGTGGCACCCTCTCTCACCCCTGGCAACCGAGCTCCTCCCACCCGGCGACCATGGCGCTCCCTGCGCTAAGCTCTCTCTCTCCCCACCCTATGTTGCAATTATATGTTTCAATTGTTTCAGAAGGTTCAGAGGTATGTTGGGGTTGAATCATATGGATGTTGCAAAAGTAGATTGGGGATGTTGATGTTGCAATTGTTTTCAGGGGCATGTTGCAATAGCATGTTTTGAGTGTTTCCGATGTTTCAGAGGTATGTTTCATCTGTGTTTTCCGGTCGCATGTTACAATTGTGTTTATCTAGATGTTGCATACGTTTCACACATATGTTGCATGTGTTTTATTCGGATGTTGCATATTGTTGCAATGGGTTTCAAGTGTGTTTCAGATGTGTTTTTCAAGTGTTTCAGAAGCATGTTTTAAGTGTTTCATCTGCCTCCAGACGTATGTTGCAATTATTGCATCTCGATGTTTCATAGATCGGAGGTGTTTGCACATGTTGCAATGGCGCCGGTGGCTAGCGAACAGCGGCTTGTCGCAGGGCTTCGGCTCCTACCTTGCGCGGCGCACCTCGCCCTCTCCTCTCCTCCCCCCTCCTTCCCTTCTCTCCATCTCGCCACAACAGTTCGAGCTCGTCCTTGACGTGGAGTTCAGCGGTGATGCAGCGAGATGGGACACGGGGCGAGCATGGTACAATGCGGGTGGCGGTGCTACGTTCGGACGCAGGGTGCTAGCGTGCGATGGACGCTGGTGGGGCGCGCTAGTGCGGGATGGACGCGGAGCGAAGCTCATCTCCGTATTTGCAGGCGGGGCGCAGCCATGGTTTCCAATATCGGCCGAAATCTCCTGATATTTCTAATATATCCTCTTTATTTGTAGGTGCCGATAAAGAAATATCTATCTTTTTTGTACAAATTTTGTTTAAATTTATTTAAATTTACTTAAATTCAAATTAAATGTTATTTGAATTTGGTCCGATATTTCGATATATCATGTTTATCCTCTTTATCTGTGACCCCGGATAAATTTTAATTTCCGAAAATGAAAACTTTGGGCGCAGCAGCCTACCCGGGCGTCCGAACGCGCGCTGTCCGCCGGACGTCCGGGCGCTAGCCTGACCGATATGAGAGTCTTCCTACGTTTCAAGTGCCTGAAAATTTTGATTGTTTCAAGCAACATATTTAATGTTACGGCAGTTGTTGATCAATGTTGCAGGTGTTGTTATCCAATGTTGTAAACAATGCAACATGCAATGTAACACTGATGTTACGGAGAGATTTTCTCCTCCGAAAACTAGACCTGTTGTGAACATATTGCAGACGTTATTCTCTAACGTTGCAGATGTTGATTTCTAATGTTACAGCCGTTGCCTAAAAATTAATAGAATTTCAGGCGTCTAGAATACAGCATCTCCCTTGAGATTATGAATTTAGGATGATATTAAAAACAAATGCTGGAGTGATTCATAGGTTGAAGTTGAAGGCCGCGATGGCGCTGTTGCATCCTGTGTGCAAGACAGAGAAGGGGGGAAACCTTAATTATCTCCGGCTGCCCAGAGCTTGGATGAGGACTGGCTCCAGTAAATTTTAGGGTTTAGTTCAAATTTTCAGGTAATCTTTAGGTTTCAGTAAACACATTTTGATGCCAAGCTCCTAAATCTAAATGACTCCTAAAAGTCTATGCTCGGAACCAATGGGGAGCCTTGGTCAACGTTGTTTGAGACCGTGTGTGCAACGATGCCACTCGTAATGGTCCGCCACAATTAGCGCTACAACTCGCAAATCGTAGATGAGCCTCGCTCGTAAACAATGCAGCTTAGTTGTAGACAGCATGGGGTCTCTGTGACAGCTAAAACTGAAAGCTATCCTGGCTATCCATTTGGCAAATTTTGAGATAATCTCAACCGTGGCATAGACTATAGTTCAGAGACTTTTGAAATGCGTCTCATTGGTAGTGGCAATCGAAGACGAATCCTGTTTAGAATTCAGAGACAGTTCAGAGTTCAGACAGGCGGTCGCTTCGGCAGCCAGGCGTTGCACTTGACAGCAACTAAGCCGTGCAACGGTGCAACCCAGCGGCCAGCGCAGCCCTCAATCTCTCTCGGGCTCTCGGCCTGCCTCTCTATTTGTCGCTGGTCTCGTCGTTGGTCGGCCGCCGTCCCTGTCATTGCCCAGTCTTCCTTGGCTTGTCCAGAGAAGCAAGAAAGGTCGCAGCAATGGACGACCGGCGCGGGCACGGCGACGCCATGGGCCAGAGGCCGTTCGTGTCTGCTGCTCAGGGACAGGAAAGGGTGTTCGACGGTGGAGGCGGTGGCGGCGGCCCTGGGCCAGCGTTTGGCGGTGAGTTTGATCAGGGATCGTCCCTCATGGCTCTTCTCGGAGCTGGTGGTGCAATCAGCTCCCAGCCACCGCCGCCGACGTGGGGCGTGGAGGAGGTGACCGCGGCGCCTGCCATTAACCTGGTGCCTCAATCATTCTCCATGGTAAACTCTGCATCTTTAATTTATGTTCTTTCTTCTCAGTTTGATGTGTGTTCATTGCAATTCCTCTTTGAATCTGAGTTCATTTTATTATGGTATATGTGTTCATTGACAATCACGGTATTTGTACTGCTATCTTGGTCAAATAACTATGATTAGAACCATGTCTTCTGTCGGATGCAGTTGATTCATATGCTCTTTAGTCTATGCTTGCATGCTTCACTGAGTACAATCGTCTGCCGTTCTATTCTACCAACTAGCTAGGGATTGATTTGCCACCATTCGTTGGAGTTTTCTAAAGAATTAGCTGGCCAGCGATACAGCAGGCTGCAGTTGTACAAGTACTTGGCAATGAACTATCAGCTTTGCACGTTCTAGCATTGGATTATTAATCTACAAATACAAATTAAAATCTCCAATTAATCTCAGGTTCTACTCCTAAATGCCAACTGGTACTTGCGAGAATTTTATCATCCTTCCTAGGGACTGATGACACAACGTAAACACGCAATTATGAATTATCACATGCATATCGCAGTGCAATTGACAGATGACAATGATACCTCAAAGTTCACAACAAGGCGGCATGTTTCCTCACCATGCAGGCGAACTACGCGCCACCGCCGCCGTCCTACCAGCAACCCACCTCGTTCGCCCGGCAAACAACCTCGTTCGCCCCATCGCCGCTGGGCAGCAGAATGGATCCCTACCCGCCGTACCTTCTCGCGGACCAACCGCCGCAATGGCATCCTCCCCGAGCGGCGGCTGCTGCTTCCTCCCTGCCGCACTCCAACTTCACCGTCCTCTTCCCCAGGAATGCATACGACCATGACATGCAGGTACGAGCGACCGCGCTCTTCGGCGGCAGCGGCGGCTTGCACGCGTACGCGCCGCCGCCTCCGCCGCCGGTCCTCGAGCAGCCGGCGAAGGACGGTTACAGCTGGCGCAAGTACGGGCAGAAGCAGCTCAAGGACGCCGAGTCGCCGCGGAGCTACTACAAGTGCACCCGCGACGGGTGCCCCGTCAAGAAGGTCGTGGAGCGCTCCTTCGACGGGTTCATCAAGGAGGTCACCTACAAGGGCCGCCACAACCACCCGCGCCCCCAGGAGAGCGGCCTCGCCGGCGGCAGAAACGATGCCATCCCCGCCCCCGAGGAGGACGTGGACGGCCCCAGCGACGACGACGACGACGACGACAACGCGTTGATGCATGAGGATGACGTCGACGGGGCTCCCGGCATGTGAGTTATGCTCTGCTTGGTCCTACATTACAACCGTGGGCTTGTCACCTGCGGCGCCGCGCAGACAATGTGAACCGTGGCAGGCTGCCTGTTGTTTGGTCATCAGGGGCGCGGACGGCGTGGCCGGGCAGAGGGTGGTGAAGAAGCCCAAGATCATCCTCCAAACGCCGAGCGAGGTGGATCTCCTGGACGACGGCTACCGGTGGCGCAAGTACGGGCAGAAGGTGGTCAAGGGCAACCCCCGGCCGAGGTGAAAATTTCACTTCGACTATCTGATCCTGAACATTTTGTGACGTGCACCAAGCCACCAACCATTGTGAGTTGTGAATTTGTGATGGTGCTCAATGCATGCTCACTGCTCAATGATGTGCAGGAGCTACTACAAGTGCATCGCGGACAACTGCAAGGTGCGCAAGCAGATCGAGAGGGCGTCCACCGACCCCAGGTGCGTCCTGACGACGTACACCGGCCACCACAACCACGACCCGCCTAGCCGGGGCAACGAAGCCGCCGCCACCGTCGCCGCAGGCGGCTCTACCGCTGATCCGGCCCCTTCATCTGCGAACACGGCTAGTGGAAGTGGGGCGTTTCAGGAGAATTGGGGGGTTCGGCAGCTGAAGGAAGAGTGCTAGCCGGGAAATGATTGGCCATTGGCCTCTGTGGAATGTGACTTTACTGGGTGTGAATAATAGAGGCTGGATCATTGATTCTTTTGGGCAGGTGTTTCTGCCGGCTAATTGTTACGGAATATTTGATTAGATTTCAACTGTTGTAGAGGAGCTGACATGTTGATTTCGGCTAAACATGTGCTTGTGCTGCATGGTATGTACATTTGTTTTCTTTTTATTTATTTATTTTCTTTTTCACATTTGTTCTGTTTTTCTCATGGGAAAAATTCTAGCTGAAGAATGGAAGGAACAAGGAAAGAACTCGTGTGGTGATGTAATGTAACTGAACCATTAGTAATCATGAACTGAAAACACAAACATGTATTTCGTTTCAAAAAAAAACACAGACATGTATATACATCTTCAGAGTTCAGAATGCAGATTGCTGCAATATCTTTTTTTCCCTCCTCTTTTGGGGCAATGATCAACAAGTATTTACACAAATCCGTGTGCGGTGTTCCTTAGCTCACAAACTTGAGTTAGTTCCTACAACTATCTGCCGATCTATACAACAGCATCTCAAGAACATCTACAAACCACACTCTCTTTTGCTTTTCCTGAATGAAAGTTAGTGCCCTACAGTAATATGACAGATTTACTCATCAGCTGCAGTTATCAGCGTCGGTATCTGCCCGTTGTCGGCGAAGTCGATCTTGTTCAGCCTCATGCAGCACAAGACATGCTCCGGCAACTCCTCAGCCTTTTGTGCCTGCAACCAGTATCAGACCATGGTTAAGTTACAGACATTCAGTCAAGGGGTCACTTTTCTTTTTCTTTTTTGAAACAAATCAAGCGGTCACTTTTTAGCCAGGAGCAGAAGAAATGTACCTGAATAGTCAGACCAAGATCAAGGACACCATGCTTGAGCCGCTCCCGGAAGGTCTCGAGCCCTTTCCGCGATATGAAGCTGAACCGATGGACATCGAGATCGATCTCAAAGTAATTTGGACCCTACATTATCAATGAAAACACACATATTTTTTATGTTTCAGTCAAACTGGAAACACATTTTACTATTTCAGCACCTGTTTGTCTATAAACTAGTGAGGAAATGCAGTTACCTTGTAGAATTTATGTTGTGGACGAGATAGCACAGGCTTCTGATTGTAGGTCTGTACAAGCTTCCTCTCTGCCGTGCTCAGCTGCAGGTCTTCAGGGTTTGCCAAACCAGCCAGGATTTTCAGCCTCTCTGTGTAGGGCACAATGCTGTCTACTGGGAATCCCTTCACCTTTTCCATTTCCTCATTCATAAGCCTCTGCATAACTAGTCAGTCAGAAACTTTTCCTAAGGAGGTGCTTCATCTATATACAAGAGAAATCTACCTTGATGCTGTCCTGTAATTGAGGAGAAATCTCCTTGTCAAAACTGTCAGATAACTTGAAATACAGAACTAGGCTTATCCCATCACCGTCGTTATCACCAAACACTGTAGCAGGATAGGTGGGCAACTGCACAAACAAGTAAACTTGTCAGGCTCAGAAGCCAGAACTAATAACCAATTAACAGTCAGTAGTTAGAAATCAGTGATTAAGAACCCTTTATGACCTACTGAATTACCTGAATGTTGACAATGAGGAGCATAGGAAAGGTCTCGTGTGTCTTCAGAGACGGAAGCGAGAGATGCTGCGCAATGTGATGAATCTTCCTTGTGTAGGCGAACATGTCCGCTCCAATGGGGGTGTAAGGGGAGCAGTCTGGAGCTGGGTATTTCCTCTTGTCTCTGCATGAATTTCACAATTCAGTCAGGCATAATCATGTATGATTCTGTCAGAGTTGTGTTTACAACACTGCCACTGCTTCTTACTTGAAGAAGCTCTCCCCTCGGACTCTGAACGTCGATGGCTCAAGAACCGACCAGCAACCTTCTGACAGTTTCTCGCCCGTCGAACACGGCACCGTGAAACCTGCCCTTGGGCGGTACAAGTAATTTGCAGAACCACCTGGGATTGCAGAATTTGTCAGCGAATAATTCAGCTACTGAACGGCCGCATGAAGATGGCACTGCAATGGCGTAGCTGAGATGTCAACGCTAAGAAACTCACTCATTTCGGTCATCTCGTCACCCTCATATGACCTTCTCCTGAACGAGAGCCTGACCACGGCTGTTTTCTTCTTCTGCTGCTGATGGTGCGGGCTGACACCAACGATCGGCACCGGCTGGACCTTGTTGCTCGGAATCGACGCCGGGAACGGCGGCCGCGGCGACATTGCAGCCTGAAGTTCCTTCAGTGTGCTACTGCAGCACTCCTCATCATTGCAGCTACCACTATTAGTTGCAGTGGCAGCAACATTCGAGTCATCACTCTTGTCATGTTGTTCACTTTGATCACAAGCTTCTACATTTGCAATGCTCCTGAGGAGCTGCATGGTGTCCAAGAAGCACGCTGCATCCTTGCACTGCGGTGCATTTGAGCCACCGGTGACATCAGGGAGAGGATCTGGATTGGATTGGAAGGAAAAACGTTAGTGCTGGAAAGTCTGAAACTGCAGTGCACGTTTTTAGTTTGTGACTATGTATGAACAACAAATATCTGAACTAGTACATTACCTCCGCTGACGCTAGCGAAATCGTTGTCGAGATCATCGTCGGAGTCTGGTGACTCCAGGATGCTGACAGAATCGTACCATGCTTCTTCGCAAATCACTGCACAAAAATTCCAGAGCTGTGAGCAAATCTGCTACTACTGGTACCTACCAATTGCAGAATTCAGGAGGAGGAGATGCTATGCTGCTGCTATTTACCGCTGCCGGCGTCCATCTGGCTGTGCTGCCACTGCAGCTTGGTGAGGTGCAGGGTGACGTTGGAGTCCGGCGCCTCCACGTGGACGACCCCGTGCCGGCCGCGGATGATGGGCGCGTCGGCGATCGCCGAGGACACCTTCCGCCGGAACTTCCTCGCCGCGACCGACAGCTTCCTCGACCGCCGCCGGTGCCTCGTCGACGACACGCAAGAACCCATGGCCGCCGAACTAGGCTACGCACCTGGAACTGGATCGACCACCAAGAAAAAGCAAGTTGCACCTTGCAGAATCAGCAACCTGAAGAACTGATCAGAGAACGATCACCAAACCATCAAAAGGCATTTAGTTACCCTTATCAATCGATCCAGCAACTGACCGGCCTCCAACTGTCTCCCGCTCTCGCTCTCTCTTTATTTCTCCGTGGATAATGCTTACAAGAAAGCCTCCTGCTTTTATCAAAGGTCACGGACTCACGGGCGGCAATTCTGAAGCGGCCAGGCCACCGAGCGAGCGAGCACCCAGAAGCAACCTGGATTAATCCTCAGCTGGCACCTCTACTTGCAATCCGCAATGGTACGAGAACGTGATGTGCATGCGATTAGAAAAATAGCAGCGGGAGGAGGACCCGTGTGTGTGTGCGTATGTATGGCGCTGCCGGAAGCGTGTTGATCCCTCTGCTTTCCTGCCCCGCAAAGGCACGGCATATAAATCATCAGAGTCTCAGAGAGGGGAGAGTATATAGGATAAAGAAACGGCCGGGGCCGGGCAGAGCCGGGGGAGATGGTACAGGTCGCTGTCACGCGTGTTTGAAGAACCGGTGGAGCCCTAGCCGCCTGCCCCAGCCGCAGCAGGGACTCACTCGAGCGCTAAACAATTCCGGCCATGCCCATGGGTGAACCGGTGAAGGTTCCAATGGTCTAGTGGAAGTCGCCTTGTAATTTTTCTGGTAGGTTTGTGCGTGCCGGGGGAAGGCAAGGGAATACAGGTTAGGTGACACAACAACTACTCTGCTCCATGTCCGTGCTAGCTCAAGGCTACTCTGCTCCATGTCCGTGCTAGCTCAAGGTTTGGTTTTCGTGTGGCCAGGTTTGGCAGAGTCAAATGGGCAATTGAGTATGTAGGTGCGTGTATATAAACTTCAAGACCTGGTCATGGAGGAAACCTAATGGATTGAAGCGAGGAACTGATTGTGGGAGTAAAAAATATGCAGCTGATTGATGCGAGTATATCGTTCTGGGTGGCATGCAAATCTCAGCAAAATATGTACTCCTACTCCATCAGGGAATAATTTTTTGGATTACTCGTCGTGAGGCATCTCGAAAGCTGATCGAGGGACTGAGACTGACGCGGACACCTGAGCAAAACATCACCATCTATAATTGGGGTGCTGCAATATACTACTCCTACTAGTGTTCCTAAAAAGAGCGCCTTTTTTGGAGGCAGACAGCTGCAAGCCAATACCATAACCGAAGAGGGAATTTTTCATTTCATTTCAGCAAATGATTTGCAGGCCAGCTGCTGAAAAGGGCCTCCCAACCTGAACCAAGTACCGGAGAGCCGCCACGCCAAAGAACGATGCATATCATGGTCATGCATGCAACTGGTCAAGCCGAGGGCTTGCTTTTTCGTCGAATGGGAGGGGAGCGAGAGCACATCATGATAATGCGACACGTCCCTTTCGTTTTCCTGCTCGGCGTGTCTGATTGCTGGTGGCGTGCTCGCCTTGAAAGACCGTCTCCAATAGGTGATCTACTAGGCTATCCAAACCTAAAATAAAATGAAATTCAAAATCAGCCTCCAACATAGAACCTATATGGAAGACCTATTTTAAGTTGTCTGATAGGCACAACTCAAATATAAATATCCTCTCTCTTAAAAAACCATATGCAGAAAGAATTCTCTTTTGGATCATATTGTTGAAGAGGATGTCGAAGGGGTATTGAACCCTTTGACTGTAGTGTCGCAGAACCGACCAATTTATAAGAATACAAGTACAATGGCAATCCGCAAGCGGTCGCACTGTCATACTTGAACCCATATAAACCCGGTAGTCCGTCGAGTACCACGACGGGTCTCGATAAACGATTTACAACAACCAAGATCGTACAGGATTCAACATACATGCCACATATTACATAAAGTTCACAGATACTTTTCATCATCAGAGTACGAATAACAGTTATTACAAACCGAGTTTGATAAATAAAGCGGAAGCAAATAAG